ATTATATCTTAAACGTGGGGAGGTAAATCGAGTAATTATTATTGGAGTCTCAAATGTAATTTGGGCTAGGGAAAGGGAGTGCAATAATATAATGTTGGTGGCCCATTAATATTATTTAATTAATTAGAGGAGTGGGTTTGACCCACAGTTAGTCTAATTAATTAAGGAGCCCTTTTCCTAATCTCCTTAGGATTAAGCTCATGAGAAGAGAATAGAAGTCTCATTCACACGAGATACACGCTTCACACGCCTCTCTCTCTCTAGATCTCATTCGAGCTTTATCTTCTTCTTGTTGCTCCACTGGTACAAGTTGAAGAAGGGTGTATTGAGTAATACAGTAGAAGATCTATAGGTAAACCGAGATGAAATATATTTTGACCTACAGAACTAACCGGAAGTCCGATTGAGACGTACAGTATACCCAGACGACCGTCTCGACGAGAGCTTTCCATCGCCGCCGACGTAGCCGGATTCCGACGCCGCACGTGCCCTCACGCGCCGCCGGAAGGAGCCTGACTGCAAAAATTCGTTTTGATCTGTTTGCATCCGTTTGATCCGATTTTGATCTGATCTTGTTCGTGCAACCCAAGACGTGATTTGCGGTCAACCGTTCGTAGTCAGCCAGATCTACATAAATTTTAAGCCGTAAGTTCTCTACGTCAAACCTTTAGATCCGTTGCGCATAGGTTTACGTTTGTTATTGAATTCGTGATTTGTAGATAACGAGATCCTCACAGATCCCAACACAATATTGTGACATACAATGTGCATTTAAGTTTTAATTAACTATGTCAACTAATTAAGTTTTAATTAACTATGTAAACTAATTAAGAAATGGGTAAAAAAGATAAGTAATGTGCAGTTTCATTGGCATTAATGTGCATATTGTGACATACAATGTGCATTTAGGTTTTAATTAATTGTGTCAACTAATTAAGAAATATGTAAAAAAGATAAGGTAATGTGCAGTTTCATTGGCATTAGTGTGCATATTGTGACATACAATGTGCATTTAGGTTTTAATTAATTGTGTAAACTAATTAAGAAACAGGTAAAAAGATAAGGTAATGTGCAGTTTCATTGGCATTAATGTGCACATTGCCTAACACTATTGTGCATTCTGTAGCGCGTTGACATAGTGGTACTTTTAATGTGCATATACACGAGTGATATTGTGCATTTCACATAACATTATTATTATTGTGCAATTATCACTTTTTTATTAAATAAATAAGATATGATCCATGAACAAAATTGCAATGTATTGAAATTATAGAAGCATGTCTTCAAGCTCATCTCCAGTGTCATGGCCATCGTTAGGACTCTGTTGTTGAGGCAGTGGCGGTCGTCGTCGGTAGAGGGATTATGGCGAGGAGGAATCTCGGGAAGTGGCTGTTGGCCGCCTCCGCGCAAGACGATTTTTATACAACTGAAACTAAAAGGCAAATACATTGAGAAACATGACAAGAAAACATAAGTGCTGCAAGGTTTTTCCAATACAAACAATAAAATGCAACCTAAGTTCCAAATAGAACCCCATAATTATAAAAATCAAACTGTAAAACAAAAACTCCAAGTTGAAAAGACCAATATCTTGATAAATTCAACACACAAGAATCCCCTTCTGTCTTTCTTCCCATCAACTCAAAATCCTAAAAACGTCTGTCTGGAACCTCTCATCGTACAATCTCCGGTGACCATATCTCTAGGCATGAAAAACTGATCTCGGGATGTAAAAGTTGGCTCCCTGATATCTTTCAGGTTCTTAAAATTTGTAATTGCATTCGTAATATCCCAACTAGCTAGATTAGCGCATCCAAATAGATCAATGTACTCCAGATTCTGACACCCTTCTGAGATCAAGTGAGGCCTTTTGTAGTCAACTTTAAAAAGCGAAGCTCAAGACGTACAAGATTAGGCATATATTTTACAAAGGCACTAGTTCCAGAATCTCAATCTTGAGGACAGGCATCAAGGTACTCAATAGATACAATTCCCATATGTTCTGAAGGGTCCAACCAGTTCAATAGTTTATGCTTTAGCATTATAAGATCAGTACAGTGAGATCCTTTAAGAGCTATTAATTTGCTGGATATTTCATAAGAGTAGTTGATGTCGAGTTCCCTAAGCTTGGGGAAACCAGATGCTAATTTGGTCATAATTGCATATGTGATGTGAGGGCTGCTCTTGATGGAAAGAACTAGAAGATTTGGGCACCTAAGCAAAGAACAGATTAACAATTGATGGGAAAACATGTTGATAACAGATAAATAATCAGCATCAAAAGAGTACTAGAAAAAGATTAAAATGATTAAGCAGAGTCTAATCAAATATATTATAATTAATGTATCCTCTGTTGCCTGGCAGTAGCATTTACATATATAAAACAATCACGAAGTTAGAAAAGAAAAGGAACGAAAGAAAAGAGAACCTCTAACTGCAAGTCATCATAATAACTAGCAGCAAAAATTCAAGCTTAATTTGTTAGTTTAGCCTAAAGTTGATGTACATTGTATAAAGAACACAACGAAAGTATAGATGGATAATCAATCATCAAAATATTGCATTTTTGTCTCGATAAAATAAATAACAAGGTGAAGTTAGTGTTGCAGGTCAGAATTGTACGTACACTAACATCCTTTACATGAACATCAGCTGAAAAACTTATCTTCTCATGTTTCATGTGCATATCCAAGGTTCAAAACTGACTGTAATCCACGAGTATGTAGATTGACGAAGTTACACATAAGTGAAATTATATTTGAAATAGACAATATTTCACAAACTACACACAAGCACAACAATTACAAAGCTTAGATATAACAGTAAAGCTCAATCATAGAATACAACCAAATAATACAATTATCAAATATAACATCTCAAATTCCCCTCAAGTAAACTTTTAGTATATTCTAATGAATTCCAAAATCACACACAACCATTAGAGGAAGAAATTAAAAGATTCTATTCAAACCCATTTGGAAAAGAAAAAATACACCAGCAGAGTGCACACTTATGTACATGATAACACACAATTTAGTATGATATATGCACTATATAAAAAATTTACATAGTCATGAAAATGATGTCAACTGACTCATATTAAGATACATGATAACACACAATTTAGCCGACATTGCAGATTTCGTCTACGAAAGTTGAACTGCATTTGATTTTTATAATAAAAAATTAACCCTAATGATGATGGAAAAATCCAAAATACCTGTTTGGGTGTCAATCAACTCCATATGCAGCAAGAGGATGTGTGTACCACACGGTGAAATATAGAATCTCTGAATCAGATTGGAATAGGAGTTGATTGATAATGACACTAATCTCAATATATGGATTATCGATATTGTTATCTGTTCATGAACCCCGCACGCGATAGAATGGCAATCTTTTAGCAACACGTAAATTTTCGTACCGCAAATTAGATCCCTAAAATAGATATATGAATATTAGTGTAGATTAGTAAAGTATAAGAATAATTGAAACATATTATAAATTATTATTGTTGTTTCAATATACCTGATATCTGTATTGAGATTGACGATAACGGAATGTGGAAGTTTGGTCGAAAATTTCGAATCGGCAGAGCTTAAACTGAGCACTCGCGAACATGGAATTGCTCAAGCCATCGCCATAAATTCGAACCGGACTGCACGAAAATTGACCAGGAATCTCGAAAAAATTTATATGATTCAGAACTCAAATTGAAATTTCAATCGGAATACTGCGAATCTGAGCTATGGGTTTTTTTTAGGCAGACTCGATTTTCTCCAAGTTGTGAATTCCCGCAGCTATGAACTCGTATTGATTGTTTACTTGAAATTACCGTCGTACCCTCCTGGAGCTTGAAGGTAATAAATCGCGTGACCATGTCTTGTCCTTCTTATCTAAGTCGTCCTGTGGATATAATTTATTCTTATTTTTCTCGGTAACTAATATTCTTATCGGAGCGCGTCCTTATATATATATAGGGTTGTGCTCACATGAGAATGGTGTTTAGTGAAAGAAATGAGAATACATCGTAGCCATTTGATCGAATGATCTAACGGCTAAAAGAATTTCACAGGTTTAACACTCATTAAGGGTAATATTGATATTTTACACATCTTCATTCAACAAATTATTTTATAAGTGGGCCCCACATCATAATTACACCAACCCATCTAAAATTATAGTTGTGGGCCCCACATCCTAATTAACCAACACACACAACAATCTATCTCTCTCTCTCTCCCGTCCACATTCTCGCCAGCGAACAGCAACCGTCGACGAGCCACCACCTCCGAGGGCCCACACGGTTGTTCGTTGGCATCCGCACCACCACTCGCCGCCGATCTCGACGGAGCCGCCACTGCTAGCCTGCAGCTTCTTCTCCACCACATCGGAGATTAACACACACCACACACACACCTCGGCGTCCGCCGCACAATGCCGCCACCACCACCGCATCACAAACTCCGGCCTACTCTCAAATCAACGCCGTACTCCGCCCCGCTATCTCCAGCCGACGGCGTTTCCGAAACATACTCGGAAGTCTCGCTGCCGGAAAACTCGAAACTATCTCCTCTAGCAATTTCAGTCTCCATCATCGCCTGAAATCCGGTCGTCCTCAATTTCCAGTCTCCACCATCGTCTGAAATCTGGTGGTCCTCAACTTTCAATTGTCGTCGTCCTCTGAAACATACTCATCGAAAAATCGACGGTCGTCGGTGCCACAGATCTCAGCCTCCGCCCCCGCCTACGTGCTGCGATTTGTCACCGCCTCTTCTTCGCCGGACGAAACAAAACGCCACATCTGCAGCGGAGGTTGAATGGTGAAGAGCAGCCATTTGTGTCGCTTAAATTGTGGGGCTCAAAGTTGAAAATTTGATAAGATTAAAGGGTTTAATTGCAATTGCAGATAATTTAGTTATATTTCAATTTTAAACCTTGGGCCAAATATGTAATTTAAAATAAATATTTAAAAAATTATTTTTTTAATATAAATATGTTTATAAATATATGTATATTATGTGATTTAAATTAAAAAATAATATAAAATATTAAATAAAAAACTATTAAACTACTAAATATAATTTTATGAAAAAAAAATAATTAATAATTTTATTAATTAGGTGCATAAAAAAATAGCTGCAATGCACGCTAGTGATTGTCGAAATGCATATTAGTATTAGATCAAATGCACATTAATACATCGGATAATGCACATTATCAAAGTGGTGTGTATTTTTCACTTATATTAAATTTTTAATATGTTCTGTCTAGATTCGTCTTTAATTTAAAAAAAAAAAAAACAAATAACATATTTGATCGAAATATATAAAAAAATATATGTATTTTATATCATATATATCGTTTATTTCAACAAACAATAATGTAAAATATTAAATAAAAAATATAAATACTAAATATAGTTTTAGTATATAAATAAATTAATAAATGCTTAAAAGTGATAATTAAAAAATCCACATTATTAAAATATTCTAAAATTATAATGCACATAAAAAATATCCGCTCAATCGATTGAAAAATAATACTAGACTAAATGCACATTATTTTATTTGAAAATCATCTTTTATTTTGTATTTCATATATTATGTATTTACAGTAAAAAACTAATGTGAAATATTAAATCAAAATATTCAAATATTAAATAATTTTTATATTATAAGTAATATAAATTATTTATAATAAATACGGTAATTTGGTTGGGTAACAGTTTGGTCGGCAATAGCGACTGAACTATTGCACATTGGTGATAGAGATATTGCACATCAATGTGTGACAGGCCGCACATCAGTGATCAAAACTGAAATAATTGTATTTTTGTATCCAACTTTATAGGTTAATTTTTAAATTTAAGTTATTTTGACTTCGATAATTTCAACTGAATAAAGTTATTTTGATAATTTTTGAAATTTATATATTTCGATTATTTCAATCAAAAATGAAATTTTTATGTATCATGAGTGCACAATATGGTTATATGTATTGCAATATAATGACTATATGACAGCACAATATCATAATAAATCAATCGAACTAAATATTCGATTCGAAATTTTATATTTCGGTTCAATTATTATTATTATTATTATTATTATTATTTTTTTAATATTAAAAACTCGCTTATTTCGGTTCAGTGTCAGCTTTTTTTTATGTAAAAATGTCATTTATTTTGACAATAAAATATAAAAAATGTTAAAATTTTAATTATGTTTTGATTAATTACAAATTTAACCATGAACTCAATTGTAGATATTTCAACATTTGTAAAATTGCATCTTGGACCCTAGGAGTTACCAAATTCTCAAAATTGAACCCCTAATATTTATTGAATTCTCACATAAAACACCCAATCATCTCCTCGGTCTGAAAATCACATCCCCGACTGCAGCCACCATTGGGCTTGTCCGGTACTGCCACTGCAACCACCGTCATCTCTTCACGAGAACTATCTCCGACTCTGTCATCTTCACGCCAAATTATTGTTATATATATTTTTTTCTCACCAGGCTCAGATCGAGCGGAGATGGCGGCGAGGAGGTCGGATGCGGCGGAGAAGATGAAGGCTCGACCGAGTTGAGTGCATCGGGATCTAGCCGGCGCGACGGTTGTCGGCTAGGAGCGCGACTCTGCCGGTGGAGAGTACTACGCCCAGAGCGCTCAAAGGATGACCAGCTCTATGTGACACAGTAGCCGCTGGTGGTAACATCATCGAAGCTCGTCGGTCGGTGGAGGAAGCGGCCGACGCCGGGAGAGAAGGTAGAGATGAAGCCGGATTTTGTGACAGTGATGCTCGGCACTCGACAAAGAATAGGGAGAATTGGTGCGAGATTGATGTGGCGGGTGGTAGCGGTTGGCGTCCGGCAGCGACGGCGGCAACTAACGGCGGCAGGTGGTAGTAGGTGGTGGCGGGCTTGATTTCCGGTGGGGGGAACTCAAATGACGGGCACAATTTCAGCATATTCAGAATATGTGTGGGCGTGTGTGTGTGTGTGTGCGTGTGTGTGTGTGTGTGAGAGAGAGAGAGAGAGAGAGAGAGAGAGAGAGAAATGATGGTTAATCATGATGAGGTGGTGGTGCCCACTGGGTGATTAGTTGTAATATTATGTGTATTGTCTATTTTACCCTTACTAAGTGGACAAATATGTACATTTGACCACAATGTATATGTTAAATTACCATCTTGCCATTAATGATTGACTAGAATTTGACTTAATCATAACCATTGCTATGATATATCATATGATCCAGATTCATTCTCATTTCTTTCACTATCTACAATTCTAATATGATCCTAACTCTCTCTCTCTCTCTATATATATATGTATATATATATATATATAATATTTTGTACGAAAAGAATAAAACGGGACAGTTCGGCACAAAGATATTCGAAACCGATACTGACATTATTTAAAACGGTTCGATACCGGGAATGGGAAAAAAATAAAGAGAACCTTTCGGAACCTTATTTTTCAGAACGGGACCATTTCTGTCTGGTTCGGTATGGAAAAATTCAGTTTTTTTGCCCACCCCTAGAATTTGTGTCTAAATGAAAATGTTGGGACACTTATTCACGCACTTTTATTTAGCATGTACGAAAATGACTTTATAAGAAACACTACACAGACTAATTGGTATATACTGGGCAATAAGGTTTAATGAAATGAGAGAATGATTAAGTGTAACGCCCCGTTTTATTTTAAAGAAATTACCGAATTTTATTTGATTAAAATCAGAGTTAATTTTTCTTTTTTTTTTTCTTTTTTTAAATCCAAATTAAAAACATTTATCGAGAAACGGGCGCTACTAATTAACCACAACAAATGAACACATCCAATCAATCAAACCAAAGAACCTACACATGCTTGAGTTATCAAAATAAACAATCGCATAAAACATAAATCTCAAAATCATTCACAAACGTCTAGCATGAATTCAGATTCAAACGAAAACTCAAACATAGTTCGAAGGCAAATAAATAAATAATCCAAAGTATGAAAACAAATGATTAAGTAACAAGTTTATGCGCAACACATAATCAGTATACGAAATCAAGCAGGGATATAAACACATAATAAAATATCCAAATCCAAGCGAGAAAATAATTCAAGTCAAGTTCCAGTTCAACAAATCATAAACAGGCGGAAGCACAATATATCATCAAACAGTGACCACCATCTCGCTCGTCCTACGCCACCGCCTCCAGCTCGTCTCAACCTAAAACAAAGGAAGAGAGAAACAACAAAGAAAATAATGGGGGTGAGCAACCAACAAGCTCACCATTATCCCACAATTATCCCGTATAATTATTTTAAAAAGCAGTATCACAGTAAACAATATCAGTATCCGTATGCATAGAATTCATAGCCTAAACCCCCTACCCGGCCCTATCGCAATCCTCCTATGTACATACAACAACCTTCCGACCAAACATCGGCAAGGCCGTAACTGGAAAATTTTCCCCACCCCGAACTACTCACGGATCATGGGAGTCCACCCCGAACTACTCACGGATCATGGATGTTTTCCAGGAGACAGTGGAGATGTTTTTCCCCCCCGAAACACACACGGATCAGGGCGTCGCCTCCCGGATACAACGGGCAGGTGACCTCTCACTGTTATGCATTCGTCAAAGGCACTATCGTTCGGGACACTTAGACTAGAGTTCTCATGCATACAATAATTTTCAAAAGAAAACATTACACGAAATAATGAGTGCGATAAATATGGAATACATCATAAATGTACCCACCTGATAGCAGCAACAGTTCACAGAATCACAAATCCAGAAACGAGGCGAGGTCAACACCTCTTAAACACCTACATTATGACAAGATCCTACAATCAGAATCTATCTCGACTTAAATCGGAAATCACAAGACAGACCTAGTCGAACTCGTTTCGACTAAGTAGTTCGTGAAGTCCTGTGGATGTTGGAACACTAAAACTCGGCTCTAAACTCAACCAAACCACATAAGGGAGTTCACAAAAATCCATCCAAGGATTGACCAAGTCAACTCACATCAAAAACGAAAAAAAGCAAGTCGATATCCAAATTTCATATAAAAATCATGTTCGGAAATAGAAATCATTTAATCGCATGAAAATAGATAGTCAAGCTACCCTACGAGTTAAGCTCTGAAAATTTACCCAAAATTTTATCTCCCAGAAACATGTAAAACCACAAAGTTTCAACTTTAAACTCAAAATACCCTATTTTATAAAATTCGAACAGTATATCAGCAAAATGGGCACATTAATTCATACTCAGACTTAATGAATGAATCTGATCTCGAAAATTTTACACAACAACATACAGTATGCTAAAGCCCACTTATAAAAATTTCAGCCTTAAATGATAACTGCTGCTATT